CGATAGCTTTATGTGAAGCTCAAGAGAAATATGCTAGGAGAATTGCTAAAAGAAATGCTAATAGAGATTGTATTATAACTGCTGATCTAAAAAAATATGGGTATAAACAAGGTAATAAAGTTGACTTTGCTGCAAGTAATAATAGACTTGATTGGATAAAACAATTAATTGAACTAGGATATGAAGGAACAGAAGATGCAATTATTGATGCTGCTGGAAATGGACATCTTGAAGTTGTAAAATATTTACATGAATTAGGGTATAAATGTTCACATCGGACAATTAATTGTGTTGCTAATAATGGACATCTTGAAGTAATTAAATATTTGCATGAATTAGGGTATAAAGGAGATGGATTTGCAATTAATTATGCTGCTGAAAATGGTTACCTTGAAGTTATTAAATATTTACATGAATTAGGGTATAAAGGTGATGATTATGCAATTAATTATGCTGCTCGAAATGGTCATCTTGAAATTATTAAATATTTACATGAATTAGGGTATAAAGGTATAATTGGTTATGCTGAATACTATGACCGCACTGAAGTAATTGAATATTTACGTTCTGTTGGATATAGTTAATTATGAGACTACTATATTTAAGTAAATCTAGCGCATGCGTATTAAAAATAAAAAAAAAATTTGAAAATGAGTTAAATAATTTTTCTTTTATATATAAAAAGAACGGAAAATAAAATTGAAGAATTATTAAAATCAATAAATGAAAGATTAAGATTAGTTGAAGAAAAATTAAATATTATTAATATTCATGATATTGAAATGACTGATGATGAATATAATGAAAATGAAATGATTAATAAAGATGATAACATGAGTGATGATGAATATGATGAATATGATGAAGATAAAAATGGTATGATTGATGATGATCTAAATGATTATCTAAAAAAATATGGGTATAAACAAGGTAATAAAGTTTATTTTGCTGTAAAAATAAGAAAAATTGACTTGATTAAATATTTAATCCAATCAAAAAAACAAAGTGTAGATAATGCTTTTGAAATAGCTGCTAAAAATAACAACATTTTAATGTTGAAGTTTTTAAATGAATTAGGGTATAGAGCTTCAGAAGATATATTTGATAATGCTTTTAAAAAAGCTGTTGAAAATGGCAACCTTGAATTGCTAAATTATTTTCATGAATTATTGTATAGAGCTTCAAATTATGAATTTGAACAAGCTTTTGAAAAAGCTGTTAAAAATAACAACCTTGAAATGTTAAAATACTTGCATGAATTAGGGTATAAAGCTTCAAATTATGAATTTGAACAAGCTTTTGAAAAAGCTGTTAAAAATAACAACCTTGAAATGTTAAAATACTTGCATGAATTAGGGTATAAATAAAAAGCAAGAATTTTTCGTAATATTTCATAACAAGAAATAAAAATTAACACTTATTTTAAAAAAATTGATTTTTTTAAAATAAAAAAATTATTTCTTATCTAAATAAATTATACACAACATGGTTCAATGTTAACCCCAATATTAATATTAATTTATGGTTGAAAATTTGGTTGAAAATAAAAAATAAGCCAGAATTGGTAATCTCTTACTACTTTTGTGAAAAGGATGTACTCAACCAAAAAAATATTTGATTAAGGCATTAAATTATAACAGAGATTAAAAAGTAATAGCTTTTAAACTTAGTAACTGTGGCAGATATAGATTAAAAAAAGGTGTAACCAAGTAAAAAAGTATTAGAAATTGGCCTTACATACACATATTACATACAAAGTGAACAAAGAAATAGCTTTTAAACTTTCTAAATGTGGTAGATGTTGATGAAACTAAAAGTAAAAAAAAAAGCTGTAATCAAAAAGAAAATTGAATTTGATATTAAATCTTTAGTATAGCCATAACAAAAGAAATGATATCGACATCCACAGCAGGTGTCGATAAAGCTTAATGTAAAAAAGGTGCAATAAATAGCAAAAAAGAAGGATGTAGATGCAACTAAAATTACGAAAAAATGCAATATATAAATAAACAAAATGTTGTATATAAACAAATAGTAAATAAACAAATAGTTGAAAATGGGATTAAATCAATACACTGCTGAAAAAGAATTGACTCTTAAACTAACCAACTGTTTCAGATGTAGATGGAACTAAAGACAAAATGGATGCTATCTACAAAAAAAAAAAGATATTGGCAATAAATCTTTCACAAGTTAAAAAATAATAGCTTTTAAATTCACTAATCACAGTTGTTTAAGAAATGACTTGAGATAAAAAAACATATGAATTAAACCAAAGCATACATCTTTAAATTTCTACTTATATAAGCATGACCGAAGTTGCAATATACAAACTTACCAGTGGAAGGCTGAGTTGATTGGACTAAAATTAACAAGAAAACTGTATATCAAAATAAAAAAACACCTTAAATTTGACAACAGTAAGTGAATAAGTAACAACAATCAAACAAGTTCTGCATAATGTGCAACAAATTTATTGATAAAGTATATAATGAAAACATAATTACACAAGTAAACATTAAGAAAGGTTGTATAATGATTTAAACAATAAAAGTAAGATTATAAAAAAGATATCTTTTGTCATCTTTTAAGGCATCAAAATGTTTATTTTATTATGAACAACATTAAAGATTTTATTGCTCATGTCATCCCTATATGTCACTATTATCTATCATACCTATACATCTATACATCACTATCATATCAATACATCTATACATGACTATCATATCTATACACTTATACATCACTATCATATCTATACACCTATACATCACTATCATATCATATCTATACATTATACACTACTATCGTATCACTATACATAACTATTATATATCACTTACGGAATCTTAAAAACTGATGAAATAGTAAGCCTGCATCTAAACAAGAAGGAAATATTAGAAATGTTTGTGTAATGATTTAAATAATAATCAAAAGACGAAGTATTATGCAATAGATAAATCATAAAAGATTAACATACCAAGTATTTTCAATGTAGATAAAGATAAGGTAAAAAAAAAAGTAAAGAACAAAACATACACGGTTTTTGCCAACAAATCTATACATAGTTGTTTTTTAAAAAAAGTTTTCAAACTTACCAACCATAGCAGATGGTGACAAAGCTAAAGGTAAAAAAATTAACCAAAATAACTTTGATTTTGACATTAACTCTATGCAGATATGAAAAAATTTGCCACTGGCAGATGTTGATAAAACTAAAAGAAAAATAAGGTGTCATCAAATTAAAAAAAAAAAAGATATTAAACTTATAGTATAGCTTTAAAGAATAAGTAGAAACACCTAATAAAAAAATACTTATTTAACTTACCAACTGCATCAGATGACGATGAAGCTAAAGTTAAAAAAGGTGTTATATATAAAAAAATACACATTTTTGTCAACAAATCAAATAAAACAATTTCTTAAAAAGCAAAGAAAAGTACTGTGTAAATAACAAATAAAATAAAGGTGTAAATAACGAAAGTTAGGGGTTACTTAAAAAAAAGTATTGAATAGGTTTTATCTAGTCAATACTTTTTAAAAATTTAACAAAAAAACACGTGTAAAAGTAATAAACAATAGTATTATTATGAAAAAACATATGAACTTACTATCTGTTTGAATACCCAGTTTATTTATATTATTTATTTTTTTAAATTACTAACAACCTAAGTGAAACAATATGCAGTAATCATTTTAAAAAAAAAAAAAACTCTCTCCCCCTCAGCCCCACCTCGGCTATTTTTGAAAACAGAAATTAGGTACCAAAAGTGTTTAACTGAATTAACTAATTGGTACATAATATTTTTTCATGAAATTTGGCAGGTGCAAAGGAAATGCATGTAGAAACTTATTTAATATATCAAAAGAGCGGAATATAGATTCCTTCAACAATAATTTAACTAGTAAACATCAACATAATTTTCATGAGCAAAATAGTTAAAAAAAAGGTATGACAATCATGTAAAAAAATAACACAAAAAAAAAACTTAACTCTTCTTCTTTCCAAAAATATACTATATTTATATATGTTTCCGAAAAGAAACTCCTGAAAAATACATTTGTTTTAGGCTACCTAAAAAAAACGTCAAAAAAACGAGTCACAAAATTTTAGCACAAAATTCGGCTCCGTAAATCGCTATTTCCGCGTATATATATATATATATATATATATATATATACATATATATATATATATATATATATATATATATATATATATATATATATATATATATATATATATATATATATATATATATACAGGGCCGCCAAGAGGGAGGGGGGCAATTGAAGTAGTTTGCCCCGGGCATAACAGTCTATGGGTCATCACATGCCTTAAAAAAAAGTTATTGAAATAATAAAAAATTTAGCTGATAACGTGTTTAAAGATTAAGCAATTTTTGTATATTAATTTCTTTCTCCTTTTAAACTTTGTTTGCATTTAAAATAGGATAATTATTACTTTACAAGGTTTTCATTATCCATTTGAACGCACGCATTTTCATAGGCCTTTTGTTCGCGTGATAGAATAAAAAGCGTTAAAATTTTTTTTTTCTTATTTAACGTTTGTAAAAGCCTGACTTCTGATAGTTTAACTTATTTTTGCTTAAACCTTGCGTCCCTGTGGATACTTTTGTGCATATGTATGTTTTTGACTTGCCTGCATTTTGTTCCGACTATATTTTGACAAGAAACTTATCTTCAGTGGATATTTTAATTGTAAGCACTGACTTTTTCTCTGCAATTAATAACACCAAAGTATTATAAAGTTTTTAATTTTTAAAATTTAAAAAGTTAAAATTCTTTATATCGTCATAAGTTTTAGCATGAATAATCAAAGACCTCCACGATTGAAACAGCTGTCTGGAGCTGCTAGGAGAAAAAGAGCGATGATTCGGGAAAAAAACGAAAGCAAAAACAAACGAACGCTTTTAGATTGCGTTCGTTGGACAAAAATCGAAGATAAATGCAAGCAGGTAGTTAAACTATTTTTTACTCTTGTGACGTTCATGAAAAAATAATTAGAATAATTCTGTTTAATACTTCTTTATTGTTCAATGATATTGAGATCGGTATCAATGACTCTAATGAGTTGCCAGACCATAATTCCGACAAACTTTTTCTTGCCGATGACATCGCTGACTCCCAAAAAACATCATCACATTTAAAAAAGGATCAGTTTGATTTTATACTTGATTGTCACAATGACCAACAAATTTATAAAAGTAATCTTTCTATACCAAACTCTAACGATCCTGCACTATGGAAATCAATATCAGACACTGATCGAACGAATATAATTCTGATGGGACCTTCTTCAAATCCTAGCAATTTTCCAATAGATCAAAAAGAACGCAAATTCCCTACTTATATCTTTTTAGAGGAACAAAGAAACGGAGAAAAAGTTAAAAGAGATTGGCTCGTTTGGAGTAAGGCTGTGGCATCACTCTTTTGTTTCCCTTGCTTCCTTTTTGGATTGTCTAACTTAACCAGACCCGGTGTTCAATCCAGTTTGTTGTGTTGGAATGGAGGTATACATGGAAATCGGAGAAAACTTTCAGATCGCGTTAAAAGTCATCAACAAAGCGATTTTCACCGTAACTGTTATCTCCAATGGAAAACAGCTACGATTCACTTGAAAAGTCAAAAGTCCATTGAGCATCAGTTAGAAAAAAAAATTGGAGATGAGACAAAGCGATGGAAAGTAATTTTACAATGCATTCTTGACGTCACAATTTTTCTAGCTTCAAGAAACTTAGCTTTTAGGGGTAAGAATATTGTTTTTAAATTTAAATTATATTTTGCATTATTTTATTTGTAATTTAAAAATCAAAATTACAAGTTTTAATTGGATATAAATATGGATTACTATTTTGATTGATTTGTTTGTAATTAGGATCCAATCAAAAGTTGTTCAAAAATGAAAATGGAAACTTCCTTGGAGCGCTCGAATTAATTGCTCGCCACAACAAAACATTACAAGATCATATGCATCTTATTGCTAAGCACCAAAAAAAAGAAAAACGCATACAAGCTCATTATTTATCTTGGAAATCACAAAATAAATTTATCAAGGAATGCGGCAAATTAGTGGTTTGAGAAGTTATTTGAGAAATCAAAAAATCAATTCATTTCACCATCATCACGAACAGCACTCCCGATTCGTCCCACACGAGCAAATAACTTTTGTTTTTCGCTTTTTGCATTTCAATGATAATCAGCTGTGGGAGGTCAAAGAAAGATTCTATAAGCTAGAAGAACTTGAAAAGAAGAAGGGATCTGATATAACAAAGTTGATATTGAATGTGTTGGAAGAGAATGAGCTCGACATAAAAAATTGTCGTGGTCAAGGCTACGACAACGGCGCTGATATGGCAGGTATTTACAATGGAGTTCAAGCTTTGATAAAACAGAATAATCCACAAGCAATTTTCATTCCTTGCTCTGCTCACAGTTTGAATTTATGTGAAGTACACGCTATTGAATCATCGGCTTCTGCAAAATCCTATTTTGGAAATATTCAAAAGCTATACAATCTGTTCAGCAGCAGCCCAGTTTGTTGGAAAATTCTTTAGGAGGAGACAGGCCAATCATTACATAAACTTTCTGTTACACGATGGAGTTCAAGGATTGAATCAGTTAAGCCACTAGCAAAAAAGCCAAGAGAGATCTTGAAATCATTACATCGTCTAAAAGAGTTAGACCTTCCAGGCGAAAGTAGTAATGAAGTGCATTATCTCATTAAATGGATGAATTCTTTTGAATTTGTTGTTTTCCCTACTTTTTGGTTTAAATGTTTGATGGCAGTTAACAACGTGAGTCTTCTGCTTCAATCCACTCAACTCACTCTCGATGGTGAAGTAAAGATTCTAAACAGCCTTTTGATGGATCTGAATTGAATCCGTTTGTCTTGGGACCTGATTTTGATAGAGGCAACAGAAGTTGCAAAGAACTTGAAATTTGATAAAATAATGTTTACTGTGAAGAGATCGCGAAAAAAGATCATCTCAGATGAAACTGCTGGTTACAACCACGAAGAAGCATCAAAAAACTTTAAGTGTAATGTCTTTAATGTTGCACTCGACAATCTGACTAGTCAAATGAGATCAAGATTTAAAGTAATAGAAGAGGAATGTAGCAAGTTTTCCTTCCTTTGGTCTTTACAGAAATCTCAAATAGACCAAGAACTAGGTTTAAAAGCTGAGAATCTGGCTAAACTTTACCCAGAAGACTTATGTAAAAACGAATTTTCTGATGAAGTTCGGCTTTTTTTTTTGCAAGAAGAAATGTTCTAGCCAGCGAAAAGCCTGTCGAACTTCTAAATGAAGTTTATGCAAAGGAGCTGCATTCAATATTTCCGCAAGTGTGTGTTTCTCTTAGAATCTTTCTAACATTGCCCGTTTCAACATCTGAAGGAGAAAGATCTTTCAACAAGTTAGCTATCATCAAAGATTATCTTCGTTCCACAATGGGCCAGGAGCAATTGTGCTACTTGTCCATACTTGCTACTTGTGCTATAATTGAATCAGATTTAGCTATTAGCGTTAATTATGAAGAAGTTATTTCAAATTTTGCTAAGAACGCCCGGAAGATGTGTTTGTCAATTAAGAATTGATTTTATCATAGTTTGTTCTTGCAAACCAAAATTAAATGTTATTTTAGATTTAGTAAAGAACCAATAGGAGAACCAAGCATAATTTTTAACCGGCTTTTAGCTGTCGCAGCACGTAAAGATGATTTAGAATCTATATTAGAATATGAATTAACTTATGAGCCTATGTCACTTTTTGAACAAGGCATGATGAAAAAGCCAGATAAAATATCCCTTCGCAAAGTAATAATGTGTGACAAAAATGCTATTAAATATGAAGATAATAAGACTCCAAACCACTATGTTTTAGATGGCGGTGCATTGCTACATAAAGTTAGATGGTTTAAAGGAATGAAATCCAATGTTGTAGCAGATTTTTATTCAAGTTGCGCTAGAAGCACTAATAAAGGTCATGAGATCATGAGAATTGCACTGTTTGTTTTTAAAATAATGTACTTTTTCTAACTACTTAAAAAGATCTTAAAAAACTTTATCTATATAATTTAAACTTAGATATTTTTATATTTCTAACTACAAGAACAAAAGACCCATCTGGTGGCAAAGCATGTACGTGCAGGAAATACGGAATACAGTGCT